TGGAAAAGGTCATCACAAGTTCCATTCATAAATGTGTTGAAACTTAAGTCAAATGCAACAGAGCTTTTCTCCCAATATACTTGGAATTAGGGGATGATCTACCTACAAAATTGAAGATATATGAGTATAGTTTCTAATGCATTAAACCGTTTGTCTATACAAAGTCGGAGTAGAGAGATATTCGTATTTTGCGAGACTGCGCAGGCTGGTAGGTGACAAGTAGGTGCATCGCCTACTTGCCAAAAGGAGAGGCCTCAATTAAGTCGGTCAAGAGGGGACTTTTAAAGGATAATTAACTCATTTATCTCACTCATATTTCAGACCATTAAAACCAGAGTGAACCCCTGCAACTCCTCCCCAAAAATCCCACACAAACCCTATGTTATTTCGGATGTTACGATGTGATTCTAGTGCCGAAAACCCCGGACAGCTCTCTAGTTTCTCTTTCTCCTTCATGTAGCTGCATTGGGGGACTGATTTTTGATAGAGAAGGACTAGGTTTCGTGTTTCTACTCAGCCCAAGGTAAGTTTATGCTTCTCCTTCCATTATCTATGCTTGTACGAGTTGTAACTCGATCGTAAAGACTAGACCTAGCGAGTTTTGAATGAGTGGTATGTTGTTTGTTGTTGCATCACTATTAGCTGGTTGTGAACTTATTTTTAAGTTGAATTGATGGCTGGTTTATAGGATAAGAGGCTTAGTTATGTATTGTTGGTTGTGTTGCTCAATTTGAAAGAAAAGATAAGTCGAAACATGTTTTAGTAAACCGAAAAATCAGTTTTGAGTTGTTGAACTTGTGGGACTGTTTTGTGGGCTGTTTCGTGTTGCTGTTGGGTTGTCTATTTTGCTACTGTTTATATGGAGTTTGGGAGGAGAATGAGTGTAGAGAAAAACCATATAATGGCAGGGTGGTTGGCTGGTCGTTCGTCGTTACATTTTTTAGGTTGTTGGACACTACTTTGGTTGTCGTTTTCTGTATGAAGTGATTAGGGTGTGTGGGCTATTTTGTGGTATATTCTGATGGAAGTAAGGTTAGAACATGATGCATACATGTTGTTATTGTTGTGTTCTTGCTGTTTTTGGTATACGGTATTGGAGAAGGGCCTTGTTATAGGGGAGATGCTGCCAAAATTTACGTAAACAAGCTACTAGTTTAAGTTGCAGACTTAGCCTTTACTCAACAATGATTTTGAATCTTATTATGTTGTGGTAGATTAAGTTGAGTTGTTTGAAGAATTGATTAGAAGGCATTAAGGACTCAACGGAGTTAAGGTATGTTAAGGCACTTACTTCTTTCTTTTTGTATGATCTAAAGTGACATGAACATAAACGATACACTATTCATAACGGATCTACTCCTAGGAACTAAGGTTGCCCATGTTGTTCTTTCCTTATAAAGTTATTCTAAGCAAGTGTGCATGATCCTTGAATCCTACTGAGGTTCATATTGAGGGTATGGATGTCCATAATGTTAATCGAAGGTGCAATGACCTTAAGTTACTCTGAAAGGTTTAGAACGTGATTCCATGAGTCTAACATGTATTATACATAGTATCTATTTTACTCTACCGAGCCGTGCTATAGTCGACCGGGCCTATTGTGAAACCACTGATCAATTGGGTTTACCGAGCTCCACGTGGCCGGGTACGATTTTACCGAGTCCTCTTTGAGGCCGGGTATGATATGATGATGATGATGATGCCCACAGAGGCGTATGTTTTTAAAAGTTTATGTATATATATGTATCATGAATTTCATGTCAGTAGCCCTCGGAGGCGCTCAGATGCTACAGGTTGTATCTCCTCTATCTCACTTTACATTACTGTTCTTATTTATGCTTCCTGCCTTACATACTCAGTACTTTATTCGTACTAACATCCTTTTTGCCTGGGGACGCTGCGTTTCATGCCCGCAGGTCCCGAGAGACAGGTTGACCATTCTCCTAGTAGGCTATCAGCTCAGCAGAAGGTGTTGGTTCACTCCACTTGCTCCGGAGTTGCCTATTTGGTCAGTATGATTTGTACAAGTATTGATTGGTATGGCGAGGCCCTATCCCAGCCTTTATGTTGTGTATGTACTCTTAGAGGCTTGTAGACAAAGGTCATGTATATGAAAGATTGTATGGTCTTGTCGACTTATGTTCAGTGTACGAGTGATCATTTTGGTCTTATAGGTCCGTATGTCACATGTATAAGTTTGTATTACATGTTGGGTCGTCATATGTCAAGTATTCCCTTATGTTTTATTTTGGTTATATCATGAAAGCCCTTCCAACCCATTTACCCATGATGGTATGGTAAGAAAGATACGTTATGTTGGTACTCGATTGGGTAAGGCACCGGGTGCCCGTCGCGGCCCTCCGATTTGGGTCGTGACAATGATTTTCCCATATTTAACCGAAGTTTAATTGAATTGCTTGCTTTTTCGTTCATGCTTGCATGAATTGTCAACTAGCACTTGAAGGTAATAACTTGATTTATCTTTTTTGTAGATGGAGAAAATGGTGAAAGAGAAGACGGAGACATTGATGATCTAGATCCTACTTAAGAAGATTTTTGGGTTATTGCTGAAATTTTAGATGTTTTAAGAATATTTTATGCTAACTCTTGAATTGTTAACTATGCGTATGCACTTGGATGGGTTTGAACATTTTGCTTTGATGGATATTAGTTACTAGTTTGTTTGACAATTATTTTGGATTGTAAAAGTTTATGAGTAATTTATTATGTGACTTATATAAATTTTGGTGTATTAAAATTCATAATGTACAGCGAGGTGTGTGTGTATATATCACAGTTAATTAAGTTGTTTCATTTGCAATAGGGTACAAAATATAATTTAATAGATAGTGTAAACTGTTGCAATAGGTCACACAATCTTTTGCAATAGGATATGTAAATCGTCCATGTCACGACCCAAGTTCGCCCTCCTTGAACAGTCATGGCGGCACCTAGTCTCTACGACTAGGTAAGCCTAACAAATGCGGAAAAGAAATAATTAAGGAAAAGAAACTAATAAAGACCGAGATAACAAAGTATAATAGTATTTAAGATGCCACCCGGCATATAACAATCCAAAAATTTCAACCTAACACTCCCATAATCCGGAACCCCATGAATCACAAGCTAAGAGTACATAAAATGCTCTAACTCCAGAAATGTCTAACAAAAACGAGATAAAGAAGGGCTATACTACTACAGAGAATGGAAAGGGACTCCGCGGTCTGCGGACGCGGAAGATATACCTCGAAGTCTCTATAGAAAGTGCCTCGCCTCAAGGGTGATAAGACTGAGTGGAAGTACCTAGATCTGCACATGCAAAAACATGTGCAGGAAAGGGCATGAGCACATCACAGAGGTACCCAGTAAGTGCCAAGACTAAACTCGATCGAGTAGTAACGGGGAAGGTCAGGGCCCTACCGGTCATATGCAATAATATATAAGGAGATAAGCAGTAGTAAAGAAATACAGATAATGTGAGAAACAACAACCACAACCAAGGCAAATAATCACAGAAGGTATACAACTTAACATACAGATAACAATCGGATATCTACCAGGATATCGTTCTATAGCCCCCAAATGTAAATATCCAGCAACCGGGGATCTACCAGGATACCGTCCTGTAGTCCCCAAATGTAAATGTCCAGTGGATCTCCCGGGTGTCGTAGTCCAACTCATAGTGCGTCGGGAATCTACCAGAATCCCGATCTGTAGTCCCCAAATGTAAATACCCAGTACAGGGGGAATCTACCGTGTGCAATCCCGTAGTTCCATATAACTGTGCAGGGGGATCTACCGGAATACAACATTCGTAGTCCCAAATAAATAGACAAGGGGGATCTACCGGAATACCACATCCGTAGTCCCAAATAAACAGATAAGGGGGATCTACTAGGACCGCCCGTAGTCCCAATGTAAACACGCAGCAACAATACAAGAATAATCAACTCATTTCAATTTAATATCAAAATAGACAGGTAATTCTAACCTAGCATGCTGCACAGAGTTCAGATAAGGCAGTTTGAGCAAGTGGGCAATTTAGTCATTTAGTCATGCTTTCCTAAGTTCAAGTAGTTTAATCAGTGAAAAAAAATACGAAATTATAGATACTTAAATGAAAAACAGAATTTTCAACAATCAGCACAAGTACACGCTCGTCACCTCACGTACAAGGTATTTCAAATATCAGAGTACCAAATCCTAAGGGGAGTTCCCCCATACAAGGTTAGACAAGCCACTTACCTCGAACCAGCTCAATCAACTCAATACCACGTTCTTGCCACGAGTGTCCGACTCCAAATGGCCCAAATCTATTCAAAGGAATTGCATAATGTAAACATAACTTCAAGTAACTAATTCAGCTAATAAATTTGAAGCTAACACGCGAAATTAGGAAAATCGCCCAAAAAGCCCCCCGGGCCCACATCTCGTAATCCGACCAAAGTCTCAAAATCCGATAACCTATTCAATTACGAGACTACCCATACTAGTTTCACTCGATTCTGACTCCGAATCGGCTTTCAAATCCCAAAAATTCATTTGATGAGGTTCCACAATTTTTCCCAAATTTTCATCCCAAATCTCTACTGAAATGATGAATCCAATGTTAGAATCATGTATTTTAGCCAAAATTGAGTTAGAATCACTTACCCCGATGGTTTTCTTGAAAATCCCTCGAAAATCGCCAAAGCCCGAGCTTTCTAGGTCAAAATATAAAATAAAGCCCCAAATCTAGTATTTATAATGCGCCTTCCGGATTCCCTCACCGCTGACCACGGTGGAGCACCACTGACCGCGGTAAATCCACCGCTGCAGCGGAAAATGTTAACTACAGTGACAGGCTTTAGTATTTTGGCTATAACTTTCTCTACAGATGTCCAAATCATAATTTCTTTACCTTTCTGGAAACTAGACACGAAGGGCTACAACTTTGGTTTTGAATTATCGCAAAATTCGTAGATCAAAAGATATAGGCTTCCGAAGTCGGACTAGCAAACCTGCGGATTCTTCATGACCGCGACCGCAGACCATTTTCCGCCCCAGCGGTAAAACCACCGCCCCTAGCGGTAAAACTTCTACCCCAGCAGTAAATATAAGCTCCAGAACCATTGCCTGAGTTCCGGAAATGCCCGGACTCGCTCAAAACTCACCAGAAACACACTCGAGGCCCTCGGGACCTTAACCCAAACATACCAACACCTCCCACAACATCATTAGAACTTAGTCGAGCCTTCGAATCACTCAAAACAACACCAAAACACCAAATCAACTTCAGATTCAAGCTTAAGAGCTTAGGAACTTTAAAATTCCACAAATGATGTCGTAACCTATCAATTCAACTCCGAATGACCTGAAATTTTGCACACACGTCACAAATGACACTACGAACCTACTCCAATTTTCGGAATTCCATTCCGACCCTGATATCAAAATCTCACTATCCAACCGGAAATTTCAAAAATCTGACTTTCGGCATTTCAAGCCTAATTAAGCTACGGACATCCAAAACACAATCTGAACACGCCCCTAAGCCCGAAATCACCCGACGGAGCTAACGGAACCAACAGAATTCCATTCTGAGACCGTCTTCACACTGCTCCGACTACGGTCCAAATTCTAAAGCTTAAGCTCTCATTTAGGGACTAAGTGTCCCAAAACTCTCCGAAACTCCAATCAAATCCTCCCGGCAACTCACAATAGTAGAAACAAACATGGGGAATGCAGTTAATAGGGGATTGGGGCGTTAATTCTTATAACGACCGGCCGGGTCGTTATATCTTCCCCCTCTTAAAACATTCGTTCATCCTCGAACGAGCATAAAGACATACCTGAAGTAGTGAAAAGATGAGGGTAACGGTTGCGCATATCCTGCTCGGTCTCCCAAGTGGCCTCCTTGACCGGCTGACCCCGCCGCTGAACCTTCACTGATGCAATGTTCTTTGACCTCAGCTTTCGAACCTGCCTGAACCTGCCTGTCCAATATCGCCACTGGCTCCTCAACATAAGATAGATCCTTGTCCAACTGGACTGAACTGAAATCCAACACGTGCGACGGATCACCGTGATACCCCCGGAGCATCAAAACATGAAATACCGGATGAACTCCTGCCAAGCTGGGAGGTAAGGCAAGCTCATAAGCAACCTCCCCAACACGCCGCAATATCTCAAAGGGACAATAAACCTCGGACTCAATTTCCCTTTCTTCCCAAATCTCATAACGCCCTTCATAGGCGAAACCCGTAGCAAAACCCGCTCTCCAACCATATAGGAAACATCACGAACCTTCCGGTCCGCATAGCTCTTCTGTCTGGACTGGGCTGTACGGAGTCTATCCTGAATCACCTTAACCTTCTCCAAAACATCCTGTACTAAGTCTGTGCCCAATAATCTAGCCTTGCCCGGCTCGAACCAACCCACCTGGGACCTACACCGCCTACCATACAAGGCCTCAAACGGTGCCATCTAAATGCTGGACTGATAGCTATTGTTGTAAGCAAACTCTGCCAGTGGCAAGAACTGATCCCAAGAACCTCCAAACTCCATCACACAGGCACAGAGCATATCCTCAAGAATCTGAATGGTGCGCTCGGACTGTCCGTCCGTCTGGGGGTGAAATGTTGTGCTCCACTCTACCCGAGTGCCCAACTCATGCTGTACGGCCCTCCAGGACCGTGATGTGAACTGAGTACCTCTATCTGAAATAATGGAAACTGGAATACCATGTAGACGGACAATCTCCCAGATATAAATCTGCGCCAACCGCTCTGAAGAATAGGTGGTACACATAGGAATGAAGTGCGCAGACTTGGTCAGTTGATCCACAATCACCCGAATGGTATCGAACTTCCTCGAAGTTCGTGGGAGCCTNAGCCTCCTCTAGGATCAAGTCCCGAAAGCCCATCAACATTGGGTACACAAACCCGACCTTGCATCCTCAATACCCCATCATCACCAATGGTCACATCTCTGGCATCACCTTGCAAAACCTTGTCCCTAAGGGCACGCAAACGAAGGTCATCAGACTGACGCTCCCGAATACGATCAAACAAGGAAGATCGAGAAACCACACAAGCAAGGACCAGACTAGGCTCCGAAAGGTCCAATCTCACAACTGGCTGGCTAAGGCCTGAACATCCATCGCCATGGGCCTCTCCGCTGCTGGTAAATAAGCCAAACTCTCCGCTCGACGACTCAATGCATCGGCCACCATGTTGGCCTTGCCCGGGTGACACAAAATAGTGATATCATAGTCCTTCAGCAGTTTTAACCACCTCCACTGACGCAAATTAAGGTCCTTCTGCTTGAACAAATGCTACAAACTCCGGTGATCAGTATAAGGCACACCGTACAAATAATGACGCCAGATCTTCAAGGCGTGAACAATAGTAGCTAACTCGAGATTGTGGACAGGATAATTCTTCTCATGTACCTTCAACTGTCTGGAAGCGTAGCCTATCACCCTACCGTCCTGCATCAATACCGCTCCATGGCCAATCCTCGAGGCATCACAATAGACAGTATAAAGACCCCGAACCGGTAGGCAATATCAAAACTGGGGATGTAGTAAATACTGCCTTGAGCTTCTGAAAGCTCTCCTCACACTCTTCCGTCCACTAGAACGTAGCACCCTTCTGGGTGAGTCTGGTCATAGGTGCTGGAATGGATGAAAATCCCTCAACAAATCGACGGTAATAACCCGCCAAGCCAAGAAAACTACGGATCTCTGTAGCTGACGATGGTCTGGGCCAACTCTGCATTGCTTCCACTTTCTTCGGATCCACCTTTATCCCCTCTCTAGATACCACGTGACCCAAGAACGCCACTGAATCCAACCAAAACTCACATTTCGAGAACTTAGCATATAACTTCTTCTCTCTCAAAGTCTGAAGCACTGTCCTCAGGTGCTACTCATGATCTTCCCGACTCCGGGAGTATACCAGAATGTCATCAATAAAGACAGTGACGAATGAGTCAAAATATGACCGGAATACACTGTGCATCAAATGCATGAAGGTTGCTGGGGCATTGGTCAGCCCAAGTGACATAACAAGGAACTCGTAATGACCATACCGAGTCCTGAAAGCAGTCTTCGGGATATCTGGCTCTCGAATCTTCAACTGATGGTAGCCTGAACGCAAGTCAATCTTTGAAAACACTCGTGCACCCAATAACTGATCAAACAGGTCATCAATACGAGGCAAAGGATAACAGTTCTTCACTGTAACCTTGTTCAATTGGTGATAATCAATATACATACGCATAGAACCATCCTTCTTCTTCACAAACAAGACAGAAGCACCCCAAGATGACACACTGGGCCGAATGAAACCCTTATCAAGCAATTCTTGTAACTGCTCCTTCAACTCCTTCAACTCAGGAGGAGCCATACGGTACGGAGGAACAGAAATGGGCCGAGTGCCCGGCAACAAATCAATGCCAAAATTAATATCTCTATCGGGCGGCATGCCCGGAGGATCAGCTGGAAACACATCAGAGAAATCCCGTACTACTGGGACTGAATCAACTGTAGGGGTATCAATACTGACATCTCTCACATAAGCTAGATACGCATCATACCCCTTCTCAACCATACGCTGAGCCTTAAGGAACGAAATAACTCAACTGGAAGTGTGATCTAAAGTACCCCTCCACACTACTCGCGGTACACCTGGCATAGCCAGCGTCACGATTTTCGCGTGACAATAAAGAATAGCATAACGGGGCGACAACAAGTCCATGCCCAAGATAACATCAAAGTCTACCATGCTGAGCAATAACAAATCGGCTCTGGTCTCAAAACCACTAAGAGCAATCAAACACGACCGATAAACGCGGTCCACAATAAGAGAATCTCTCACAGGAGTAGAAACATAAACAGGGAAACTCAAAGAATCCTGAGATACACCCGAATGCGGGGTAAAATAAGAAGACACATAAGAATAGGTGGAGCCTGGATCGAATAAAATCGATGCATCTCTATGACAAACCAAGACAATACCTGTGATGACAGAATCAGAGGCGACAGCCTTGGTACGGGCAGGAAAGGCATAATATCTGTCCTGGCCTCCCCCTCTAGAGCAACCTCTACCTCCCCGACCTCCACCTCTAGCTGGCTGAGCAGGTGGGGTAGCAACTAGTGCTGTGATCATAGCCTGAGAACTCTGTGGGGCGCGCTGTGGCTGAGAAGCCTGTGGAGGTGCACCCCTCCCAAGTCTAGGGCAATCCCTCACCATATGGCGTGTGTCACCACACTCAAAACAACCTCGCGCCTGATGTGGCAGTGGGATCTATGCGGTACGGGTACTCTGAGACCCCTGAACACTTGAAATACTGTGTGAAGCCTGAAACGCAACTTGAGCTGGTTGACCCACAAAACCTCTACCATGCCGTACTCTTCCTCCAAAATAAGGGCCAGTGGGTCTCTCCGGTCTACGAGGTCTCCTCGCCTCCCTGTGCTCTCTCTCTTGACCTCGTCTGACCTCTCTCTCCCGGACCCACCTGTCCTCTACCCGGTGAGCGACCCTTTCCACCTGCTGAAACAGGACCATAGGCTGTGTCGCCATGACACCCGGAACCCGACCAATGTGAACTCGCTGCTCTGAAGTGGGGGCGATAGGAGTCTGGGTCCCTCCCCCGATCTGTGAAGTAGTTGGTACAACCTAAATCAATCCCGCCTGAACCAATATACCAAACATGCTCAGGAACTGTGTTAAGGTCTCCTGAAGTGCTGGAGTAGTAGTAGCAGTAGGCGTATTAGGCGCTTGAGCTCCAGCTGGGACTGCTGGTGGCTCCTCGATAGCAGCTCGTGCGGGTGCTCTGGCTGCACCGCGTGCGCGTCCATGGTCTCTACCCCGGCCCCAACCTCTGATGGCTCTCGCAGGGGGCGCGGGTGTCTGGTCACCTCCAGTAGCACGTATCCTCACCATCAGTGAGAGAATGGAAAACAGAGGTTTAGGGTTGTGATGTCGAAAATCTCGCACGACAAGGAAATCAATGAAGTGGAATTTTCCTAACGGTTACTTAGCCTCTCGTAGATAAGTACAGACGTTTCCGTACCTATCTGCGAGACTCTAATAAACCGGCTTGTGATTCATGACTCCTATGAACCT